AAGAAAATTTTGGTTTTCAAAACCACTGAACTTTAAATCCTCATCTGCTAAAATTGTTCTAATGTATTTCTATTAATTGATTAAAAACTCTCTGTAAATAAATACCATGTCTATAATAACAACTGTTGGCCTAATCCTATTTCTGATATCTGCAATCTAAAAGACAGATGATTTAGATTTGTTATGCCTGTCTCCCCAAAAGAGAAGTTATCTCTGTTTTAGACTCTCAGCCATTGTCTTTTCAGACAGAAGCACTAGAAAGCTGTCTAACAGTCTCTTTTCATACCAGTCATTAACAGGAAGAAAAACCTGGTCCAAACACCATCAGAGGCACAGGATCACAACACAGCCAGTAAATAAAGTCTCTAGAAGAGTGCTGAGGTGCTCATCATCTGGGTCAGGCAATTGGAGTGGGATCAATGTCAGATATAAGCAAATGAGAAGGCAGAAAAGGAGAATTATGAGGACTAAGCAAAGAAACCTACAATACACTTCTTACAAAGCGCTGTAAAATTCACATTTATTTTGTAAGTATGAGATAGATGGGTTATTTCTACATACAGAGGTGCCCAACTAAAATCAAGATAAGTGATATTAATGTCCTATGGTCAGTATTATTGAACCTCGAAAGCAATAAACTATGAGTCGATAAATATTACATTTGCAACATAGTTAACATTCTTCTACTGTCTCTGGCACTTATTACACATTGTAACCGCAAGTCTACAATACATTATTCATATTTGGGGTGTCACTGAGTGATGGATTGCTGTAAGAGAGGCTGTCCTTTAAATAAATCAACAAATAAAAATGCAAATGTTAACATTTTCAGCCACAACTTTTCCCATCTTGAATGGGGAATGAAAATTTCACATTATATCGACAGCCAGCAGAGAGAACAATTAACAACCTACACTGTGAATAAGAGAGATTAATTTGCCAACGTCTGGTTTTATCACTTGCATATGGAACTATATTGGACTTTTTGTGCTGCTGGCTTTCTCGGGGAGTAGGCAAAACTTGCATCTCTTACCACGTTCAGCACCTAACTCACCACTCCACTCCAAACACACTTTTAATCTCTTTAAATATTCCTAAATTAGATGTGGAATGAAAGCTTTCTCCTCCTTGTCCTCCTTTTGAATCTTGAATAGTGTCTGATCCTAAGGAGTAAAACAATAAATCTATTTCTTTAGTAGTGGTAGCTTAGACTCTACAGTAGAAGGATCTTCATAGTATCATCTTAAGAGCAGAACCATATTTAAGCATCCAACATGAACAGACCGCATCAGTAAGGCAAAAGCTTAAATCTCATCACTGTTTTATTTCCTAACACTCAGCATAACAGATCTAATCTAGACTATTCCAGTGTGCATTATTAAGTATACAACTCTGCACATTATATTTTACATCAGATATTAATTTGCTTAAAAGTCCCTGAATACACATTCACCTGAGATGTGCTGGGCAATTGGGTAAATAGTTTTGTTTTTAAAATGTCCCTAAACACAAATTTACACAATACAATCTGTTTATGAAAACTCCAACAGGCCACTGTAGTCTAACAGATAATAATATAGCTTGAATATAGTATTCATATTGCAGAAACTTCTAAATCACTTATTTTAATGGCTACAAGAAACTTCACTCCAAGACAGTGCATTCAGCTAGCATTAAAGCTCTGATTTAAAACTGCAACAAGAAAACACAGGCTTAATGCTGAAATCCCAGGCTATCACTCAATCCCTTAATTTACCTAACTCTTCTTCAATTCACTTCTTAGATGCCCAAAGTGAAAAACGTTACAGGAGAATTATTTGTTTCCATGGTGAGCAGAATAACCTTTGCCTGTGTCTTTCTAAGTGCTTGATTATCCGCAGTGTTATAGGACTTACTGTGCCAAACTCAACACTACAACTGTTTCTGCGTGGGGAGAGCCTGACAGTTGCACCGGGGCTGTAATCAAATTAAATGGTCTTTCACAAGTCACAATTTACAATATTTTTTCTTAAAAAAATAATAGCTTAATACTTTGATTTAGAGCAGTTTCATTTCTGTTTTGCAACACAACACTTGTTTTGGTGAAATCAGTGCCTGTTTATGCCTAAGGTAAAATCTAGTTTATGTAAAAACTTCACTACTAAATGTATGCATACAAATACCACTAACTCCCCTTTTGAGCTCCCTTCCAGCTCACAGCCAAACACCAGTCTTTCCTCTAGACAAACAACAGTTATGGAAAAAAATGTCCCTGGTCACCAAACAGGTAATATTTAAGATAGTCAGAGGAACTATGCTTTAGAGGTAAGGAGCAAACTTATTCTTCCAAGTCTACCCAGCCCCAGCCTTGTCTGCGATTTTTTTTCCAAATATATTGGCTCTGGTCTAGATAAACGAGTACATGGAGTAGAAAAGCTTTTGAGACCTGCTGTGAACAAAATTTCAAGGGCCTCATGCAGGTGTAGACACTTGGCTTAAGAACACTGGATAACCAAACAGGCAATACTTGGTTGTATTACAAAAAACAGCAACAGGCATGCATAGAAGCATGATTGGCAAACAAATCCACTACTAGCCCAACTCAGGACGCTAGATAAAGAAATGCTATTTTTCTTTCAGAGATCTCACTGAAAGCACCCGGTGGACGTTCATTATGCAAGTCTGGTCCTTCTACAGGTCCAGCACTAAGGCTCTCAAAGCACACACCTTCAGCTTTTAGGGACACTTATTTCTTGTCCCAGGCACGATTCATTCTGAGCAGAAAGTAGGACTGCAGCGATTCTTCCTCAAGCAGGAGGTAGCTGTAACACACTGAAGCCTCCGTTTGAGCCTTGCCAAGACAGGCTATCAAGCCAACACATCATCGACCTGCCATGCCTGCTTATCCAGCCAGCCCTCCCCAGAAGCTGTGCTAGCACCCTGATGCCTCGCGCTGGCAGGGAGCTTCTGTCGCTTTCCAACACCTTCTTCCCTGGCAGGCTTTCCATTGCTGCTAGTGCCGGGTGCCAGGGTTTGTGCTAGTTAAAGCTGGCACAAACATGAGCTGAATCTAGTCCTATAAATTTAAATAGTCAAAAGTAATTAGGTTTACACGTACTACCGAATAAATAAATTTGCTCTTAGGCTAGGGCTTTGTGCAGTAAGTTTCAGGCCTGTGCCAACTGTTGTGGTTAAGCTGTTAACCGCCTCCCCCCAAACACAGATTATAACGAACATGCTGACAAACCCTAACTTTAGTGGCACAAAAGCAGCAATAATTCTCAATATTGATTAATTTAGTTAGTTAAACCTGCAGTCTAAGCTTATAACCATTCAGTGATAAATTGAGACCGACCTGCTGCCCAAGCAGGTTTTTTGATGAAGGATAGGATCAGCTTTAGGTCTCTGCAGAAATACTTGTCCATTTACCATTTTCAATTAGAGAAGGCCATGAGTAAGGGAAAGCACAACATGGCTGCTTAAACTGGTCAATTATACTTACAGCACCAACAGCAAGAAAGCAAGTGAGGAAGTGTGGGAGAGAGCACCCCAGAAATACAGGATTTTTCATAATTTGTCATCAACTGGTAAAATAAACCTTTAAGGGTGACAGCTAATCAGACTCCTTTTACTGATCACTTTATCTGATATGATTTCTAACAGCATATTTCAACAAATACTTTACTTCCCTCTGTGGAAAAGAATGGACCATCAATCCTCTTGAATAAAATTCCTTTTTGTGAGCAGTTGTTGTGTGATGTGAATAATTATATCTACGCCTCTGTTTGAATGGAATCTCAACTTATCACTATTAGACAGTATCAAGAAGTATCTTTACACACTCTTTATCTGATATTACCGGCTTGCAAAGGTAACCCTTGCTTCTAAGAAAAATGCTTAGGCAATCTTGTGGTTTCTGTTTGTTTAAACATACAGATACTTGTGGGAAATAGAGTCCAATCTATCTCAGTTCTTAAATCCTCCCAGAATTATCATCCCCTCCATCAGAAGAAAAAAAAAAGTGTTTCCATAGCAAGTAAGTACAAATTTGTCAATATTGATAGTGGGTTTTCACCTATTATATATCGCAAGTTCTCTCAGAAGATAGAAATAAACTGCCAACTGCTGCCAAAAATACAGGGATGATATCAAGCATACATTTTCCTAGTCCACTGGGCCAACAGAAGATTAAATCTGACTCAAACCCTCTTGTTCTCCAAGAAACATTTAACTCTTCTTATGAATGGTCATACATTCTTGTCATCCCACTGCACAATGTCATCTAACTAGTTCATACTTCAATGTGCATTTACTTTGTTGCTTAACTAAACATTTTATTATGAGAAAATGTGGGACATGATAAAGAAAAGCAAGGGTTGTATGCTGTTTTTCTAGGAATTTACCGCTAGAATTGTAATCCTGCCTAAAGAAGGCAAGTTGTTTTTAGAGTCATAAGTGTAACAACAATACTGCTTTCTGTTTCTTCATTGGAGCAGAAGTGATAATGCTGCTTTTCCAGTGCATTTAGTGCAGATATATAGTATAATCAGGAATTGCTGACTTAATGTGATTTTGCTGTTTGTCATTAAACATAAAATAAATCTGGTATAAAACATTTTAAAAGAAATACCATTTGATAAAATATGGGGGGGTGGGAGCGGGCTGCAAATACATGGGGATTAAAATCTTCAAGTGGATTTAAAACCTAACAGGGGTTAATACCATCCATTTAAATTATTTACAAATGTATTTAATGTGTCAGGACTTGGAACATAAAATACTTTCTGTTCAAAATCTAAGTAAAATTAAAATGTTAGAACTTGGCATATTCCTGCTTTACTTATTCTAACAAGCAATTTAAGGCTTACTATAAATGTCAAAAGGATATGGTAGTTTTCAGTTTATATTATCCAGCTCGTGCTAACATGAAATATCATAGAAATTCAGCCACTTCCCTGCATCTATGAGAATGTGATGGTTGTGTTGCAGAATCTTAAACCAGAGATGACTTAGCAGCTTACCGTGAAGTGTAATGCTGGACTGGTGATGTGGCTGTGGTTGCAAGCTCTTTGCTGTTGCCTATCAGCACAGGAGATGTGGCTGCATCCTTCCTAGGTCCTGAAGTTGTCCCTGGGGAATTAAGTGAAGACAAGACAGACATCAGAGGCTAGTAAATTTTGGATGGATGCTTTGTGATTCTCCATTATTACAGAACACTGGGTCTACAAGTTGCAACATTTCTGGAGTGCCATATATACAGTGAAATGGCAATCAAAGAACTCAGCAGTTGACAGTACTGTGCATAGCATGCACTTCAGGATCACACAGAATCATATCTGTAGAGTAAGTCACATTCTACAGCCTCCATCTTACTGTCCAAAGTTTGGCAGACCAGCACTGTGGTAATTTCTTACAGTGGTCCACAGGATTCAGCTTGTTTCACAGATGCAGTTCTCATAACATGCTGCAAGATGTTAGTTTTCCACATGTAAATATCACTACAATGGTATTTTTCTTTCAATAAAATAAAACGGTTAGTCCATTCCTTCTTCCCCCCTCCCAATAACTCCTGAATTCTAAAATAATCTAGGTTGAAAGGTGAAGTCTGCGGGCCTTGTAATCCAATCCTCATTTCAAAGCAGGGCTAACAAAACCAAGTTTCAGGCACATGTTCAGTTAGGTTTTGAATGTCTCCACTGATAGTGAACCAACTTCTTCTCTGGTTCCAGTGTTTGACCACCCACACAGTGAAAAATGTATTCGGTTCAGCTAATCTGAATATCCTGCGTTGTAACTTTTTTCCATTGTCTCTTACTCTGTTGTTGATGACTTCCAAGAAGAGTCTCATTCCCTCTTCTCTACACCCTCTCCTTAGGTAGCTGAAGAAAACAGGAAGATCTGTGGTGAACCATCCCTTCTGAAGGCTGAACACAACCAGCTTTCTCAGCCTCTCCCAGTAGGTCATAGGCTCCAGCCTCCTGACTGTCCTGGTTGCCTCCACTGGACATCCTACTGTTTGTCAATGTTCTCCCTGCACTGTGGAACCCCAGCCCCTACAGACAAAGTCTCATCAGAGTAGATCAGAGGGGAAGTGTCACTTCATCAGCATGATGACCGCAATTTTGCTATTACGGCCCAGCAGTATGAGGTTTGGTTACTCCATCACACAGGCACACTGCTGACTTGTGTTCAACTTGCTGTTCAGCAGGACACCCAGTTCTTTTCTGGCAAAACTTCTTACTCGATTGTCAGCACCCAGTTAGTCGTATTACGTGAGATCAGTCCAACCCAGCTGAAGTAACTGACATTTACCTTTGTTGAACCTAAACAGGTTTCTGTCAAACCATTTTCTCAGCCTGTTAAGGTCCCTTGAATACTGGGCCTTTCCAGTATATTGACTGCTTCCCCAGTGGGAGCTGTCTGCAAGCTTGCTTGAAGGTGCACCTTCTCCCACTGTCCAGGTTGTTAATGTTAAGCAGTTAACCACTAGCAAGTCAGCTGGACTTATGACAACACTTTGAGAGTGGTAGTCTAGCCAATATTCCACCCATCTTCTGCCTTTCACCCACCCAACTGAGAACTGGGTTTTATAGATAGGATTCAGTTAAACAACTTGCATACAGGTAGTCAGAGGGTAGTGGAATAGGCAAATTAGAAGTAATCTGATCTACTACACAAAAGTCTGTGGGTTTGGGCTTTTTGCATCTAGCCTAATTAGCTCTGTCCAACCAAAATCACTTAAGTAAAACAGTAAGTACAGGGAAAACTACAAGTCTCAGCAAAAATTCAAGTCAAATCAGTATTTAGCTCTTTAAGTAATTCTGTCATGCCTAAGTATTTCTCAGTTCTGTGAACAGCAACATTATCTACCATCCATGCTGAAACATGAAGCAACACAAGGATGTAATTCCAGCTTCAGTGCAAAATTTACAATGTCCAAGGGATTTAAATGATTTAAAATACTGCATTGATTTAAGATGTATACAAATACACACAATATAGTAAAACCACATATTTTAAGGTGTATTCTAGGCAGGCTAACAAAAAAAAAACGGGTTATCATCCTGCTATAATGCATTGTTCTTCAGTACCATGCAGTGAAAAAAATCTTGCCTAACAAATAGTTAATTACCAGTGAAGGAACTCTTAGAAATATCATGGAGATATATGTTGATTGTATGTCCCTGGTAACTTGATAGTCTGTCAATCCATGATGAGAAGAGTGGGTATGCCTATAAAGGCTGGAAGACTTTTGGCTTTATGATCAAATAAGAGGTATTTAGTAATCATTTCACGTGACAGTGGAATGAGGCAGCTGGATTTTAAGTAACTAATACCGAAGTAATAAAAACCTGGTGAGCGTGGGAGAATATATTCAATTCCGAATATGAGAAAAGGCTGGCACATGGTCAACATGCTACATTCATAGCAAAGTAGATGTATCTCTCCAAAAAAGAAAATATATGGACTTGGAAGTGGCCAATACAGCCTCAAGGGGACTGTTCAGAGACCCAAGTTTGAAAATATAACCAGGGCTAGAAACTGAAAACAACAAAAGTAACTATGTAGTAATATACTGAGGCCGTTAGGCTGCACAGACATAAAACAGGGGTAGCAAGAAATCCTCAATAAGTGCATATTTAAACAAAAAAATGTTTAAATATACATCTTGAAAAAGGCATGCAAGTCAATTGAGGGAATAGAAACACCAAAGAGCAAGCAGGTCTATGAACATATGAAGAAGATTAAATCAGTAAGGATTCTAAAATGGCCACGTCACTAATAATTTTAAAATACACTATTAGAAAAAAAAAAAGAAAAAGGAATATTGGCAAGCAGGAGATAATGAAGACCATGTTGATGTATAATACCTGCCTATATAAAGCTGATGAAAAGAAATTATCAGGGGGGAAAAAAAAAGATACAAATTCTTTAGTCTGAAGGATATATATTTCAGGGCTAAAGGGAATTAGTTAATGAATTTATGAAGTGACTGGTAATTATTTATGAAAAGTCATAGAGAACTGGGGTGATACAAATGACAGCAAATTAATTAGATTTGCAGGTGTTGGAAGACAGTATGAGACTGGAGACTTTGCAGATGATCAAGAGAAGCAAGAAACATGGAAAAAGAATAGGCACATTCACCCTTGGAAAAAAAAAAGCTCATATATGGTGTGATAATCTAAATCCTGATACCAATGGAGAGAACTTAGCAAAAAATGAACTCGATGTAAGCTTGCAAGGCAAGCTACCCCCAAAGCAATTATACATGTCTTCCAAATAGTAATGCTAAGAATACTATTTTCAATTTGGTTAATTTAGTATAAGAATGGTTTGAAGTAGATTAGACTCATTTGAGGAAGTTCAAATAGCTGTATATTTCTGCTTGAGAAACAGACAACTAAAATATGAAGAAAGTGGGGAAATACAGAAGTCTACATTTTGAAAGTGTAAACACTAAGAATGAAGAAATACAGTTGAGGCTGGTTCAAGGAGTAATGGGATGAAAGTAAGCAAAGGGATCTCTAGGTTGACAATGATGAAAGAAATCTTTATGAACTGAGTAATACTAATATTCATAATACTTAACATTTATATAGTACTTCACATCTTCAAAGTGCTTCACTAATATTAACTAATTGCTCTATTCGATTGTAGAGAAGAATCTTCCCTCAAGGGAAGAAGTTCCAGATCCTGAATCTCTAAGAAGCTACGTTAGAAAACCTACTAAAAAACAAACACTATGCAAAAAAATCAGCCCCTGGAAAAGTACAGATTTTATGAGGTAAAATATTTTTCCTTCTCTGGATTTTTATTTTACATATGGAAAGGAAAGCTGTACATGCTATACAATATCATGCAGATGCTATGTCCCTCAAAGTGACACAAAGGGAAAAATAGCTCTTTCTTTGTTTCAATGAAGAGGTATTTCAGGAGGGGTGTGAAGAGGAAGACTTTAAACAGAAATGTAGAGAAGTAAATTGCCCAGTATTGCAGAATGCAGTGGATAGAATCTAGTTTAGTTTCCTAGCCCCGAACCAAAATTTTCCAGGGCAGAAAGGAAGAGAAACACACATTTCTGTATTCCAGTGCTTTTTAACTAGACAAGTTGTTAGATCTTAGTACAAATTGACATAGCTGCTGGTGACACCAATAAAAACAATTTACTGCTGAAGAGATCTCAGACTTGAAGATTAGTTCATCGTCTGAAAGTTTTGCTGGTACAACTAAAAAAGTTTGGCTACAAGACACAAACACCTGCTAAAGCACAGGAATAAAAATCAAAGAGCAAACAGAAATAAGAGACAAAAAGCAACAGTTAAAGAATAAAAGCTGATTGCCTAAGCTGATCCAGTAAGCTCTACCCTGAAAAGAGAGCAGAAGTGCCTCTTTCACTCCATGAGATGGGACCAGCTTAACAATCCCCTTGTCCCCATTACTAAACATCTACAGAGAGAATGGAAAAGTAGGTTTATTACAAAATCACCCTTTCCAGACTCACTGCACTCACAGTAATTGAGCAGTCCTGTGGGCAGTAAAGCCTTCTGCCATTTCAACATGGGAATGTTTTCCCAATTAATCATTTTATCTTCTCAAAAAAAAATAATATATATATATATATATATATATATATATATATATATATATATATATATGTAAGAGGACAAGGTACTTGAACAGGACACCACCAATGTCTCGTATAACTGCCTGTGCTGCTGTGGAGGGACACTACCATGACTTGCACCATAACCCAGATACAACCACCATTCCCAGTGATACAAGGAGATTATATAGTGATCCCAAAGGCCAATATCAGCACTGGCACTGCACTAAGGTGTGCTTGGAGACAGTCCCCATCCTGAAGAATATACAATTTAAATAGACAAGATAGATCAAAGCATGAAAAAAATAAACCTCTGTAGCAATAGTTTAATAACTGACTGTCAAAAAGTTTTCAGTGGACATGTTTCTGTACACAGTATCCACCACTGCTGTCCTCTGACCAAAAGGCCACCTTTAGGTATGTGGCTAAATAACATCAAGTTTCATGACTCAAGATGTCATCTTGTTGACTTCATTCCCCTTTCCCATGTCTCATGGTTTAGACAGAGCTCAAGTAAACACACTGCAGTAGAGGGATCACTTTGCATTAACACAACAGCTACTGAGCACTGTCCAAGACAGACCCCCAGGCTTGCTGGCTCAGCACTCTGATGTAGTAAGGCAAATACTGTATTTTTATAAATTTCACCACAGAAAACAGTGTTAGAATCCTTCGTTTTATTTTTGTGAGATGCTACATAATTGCTTCCCAATAAAAAAGTAAATTCTGAAGCAGAAACACCAGGTAAGCAACATATGGGAAGATACAGCAGAAGGAAGGACAGAGTCAGCTAAGTCCAGAGGTAACTAGAATTAAGAAACTTGACGTTGTTCCCTGGTGATCCCCAAAGATGGAAAAAACACTTTACAAGTATGTGTGTATGCTTGTTAAAGGAGTCCAAATATATAACAGAGGGAAGCCAATTAAAAAGGTAGTAAATACAGAAGACTTCAACTTCAGTGATTAGTGCTAGGTAATTTGCCTCGTGATAAACAAGCCATTCAAATCAGTAATAGACCCGAGGTTGTTCCACAGCTTGAAAGCATTTCTCTGAACTTTATCTGATATCACAGCAAGTGCTAATGTTTAAGTTAAATTTTGCCATGCAGCTCTAGATCTTTAAATCTAGCAATCCCAGTAAGTGTTTGCAACAGATACCCACCATCTTCAGGCATCATGTTGACCACTAAGATCACTAAATCAGCATAGGTGCAGCTCAGTTGCTATGTGCAATAGCCAGATGTATCTTGTAACTTCTCCTAAATACTACAAAATTAAATGAATGAATGAAGAAGAAGCCAGGCTGGACTTTTTTTCCCTGAATCTATGGAAAAGAAATTACTTTTGGGGGACTATCCCTATTCAAGGAACAAAACCCATCATCCAACTGTGAAAAATCTCAATTTCATCACTACAGTATTGAGAAGGAGCAGGGAGAAGGAAGAGGAAAAGAGAAGAAAAAAATAATGATAGCTGAAAAAAACATAAAAGAAAACCATCAGTGAAAATTGCCCCTGAAACTTTGCAGAATTGTAACGGCTTTCTCTTGCTTAAATTGATTGGTGTAGCAATGTTATAAAATGACTATTAGGATTCATTGTGCACAACAGAAAGTGTGAAATGTCAGCAGACTATACAGCAAAAGTAATGGGTCCTGAACCCCTGTTAGTCAAAAATGATTTTGTTTCAAATTAGAAATTGATTTTTTTGGACACAAGCCCTTTACAGGCTTCCAACTTTTGTAGCTGTGCCTTGGAAGAGATTAACCTCAGCCACTGTTTGGGTCCAGGCTGATGATACCCTTTTGAAAGTTTCTTCACAGGGACTGCTTTTTAATGTTGGTACGGTCTTAACCAATAACACAAGTTATTTGTTCCTTTGAGAACTGCACCACATTTCTTCTCATTTTGCCATTTTCTTTATTTTTATGCTGACATATACGGCAAACTGGCTGACAAGCTAAAATAAAAAAAAAAGCTAGCTCATAATTGAACCAAGGATTATATTCAAGGCTCGGCAGTGAAACATCCAAGCTGCTTTTTTTTCCAACCCTTTCTTTTCCTAAGAAAGGCTGCTTTTCTTCTCCTTAGGTGGAGGTGCTAAGCTAAAGAGCAGGACAGATTTTAGCCATACAGACATCACTGTGTGGCAAAATATCACGTTGTGATGGTGGAGCCATTACTTGGGGAGGAAAAGAATGTGAAGATGATTACACTTCCAGAGCAAGCCCCACTGCACCTAGTCTATCTGCTTGCTGGGAAAGGAAAAAGAATTGTTGAAGTAGCTTTTCGAGGCTAAAGGGTTATTTTTGCCCCTTCCATCAGGAACACCAGCCAAGAAGACCACTTGTTATTTACAAGGTTTTCTATGCTCATTATTATTTTAAATGCAGTTACCTTCTCTTGGGTTGTTTCAAGCAGCTTGCAATCCTCTCCCTCTAATTGTGCATTTTACTGATGCGCTCCCGAACACATATATATACATAGTTTCTGAATGTCATCAGCACACCCGTGGCCCTGCAAAACAGTATGCTTCTCCTTACCTTTCTTTGACTTGGTGCCTTCCCTCTTGGTTTGCATCAGAAGGGTTTGACCATCTTTCACATTTGCACCAAAGCCAACCATTTTCTTCCCCGAACTGCTCCCACCACTGCTCCGTGGTGTTCTGGAGGTTTTGTTCACTGGAGGTGTCCTTGGAAAATAATCTTCATATTTCAACACTGGTACACTGCAAGGAAAGAACGGTCATGCTATCACATGATGCTTTCAGCCCTTTTAACACTGCACCCAGCTCTCTCCCCCACTTTCACTCTCCAAAAGTGTAACTGTCATGCTGCTGGCTGAGCTCGTTGAATACGTTTACAATGTTTGAAAGGAGGATGCCTAAGGATCAAAGAGTTACCAACCTACTTTATCAGGAGTCTTTGGTTATCAGCTGCTGGCAGCACTATGACAATTACATATGGTGTTTTATGGCATTTGGCACATTCCCTAGAAGCATTAGGTCTTGAATTTCCTGAGGAGTTAAGACAGGACAAGTGGGATGAAGATGCAGAAAATACTTTGTCCAGCATAGCATAGCAAGGTTGGAAGAAAGAGCAATTAAAAAATGCTCACTTGACTAGGATAAAGGCGAAACAGAAGATTATGTGAAGAGAAAACTTGAGTCATGGTTTACAAAAGGGAAGCAGATCACAGCATCATTTAGGTTGGAAAGGACCTTTAAGATCATTGAGACCAACCATTAGCCTAACACTGCCAAGTCCACCACTAAACCATGTTCCTAAGCACCACACGTACACATCTTTTCAATACCTCCAGGGATGGTGATACATTGATTCATGAATAAAAGGGATGAGAGATGAGACAAGAGGTGAGATGAATGAACAGAGAGTGTATGAGCAAGCTGGTGGGAGAGTAACTGGTGAAGCAAGTGCAGCAGTTTGAGTGGAGTAAGAAAAGAAAAGATAACACGAAACATTATGGTTCAAGATGAACTTCAACACAAGATCATAAACACTGCACAGATAGAGCCAGGAGGCAAATTCGGTGATAGGGAGCAAGCATGACTTCAGTTTCTGCAGACACAGACAATCACAAAATGTGATTGTCTGAAGACAGAAAGCTATGGCGAGCCATCTTTCTCTCGGTAATTACAATCTACTACTTTCAAATTCTATTATCTGGGAAATAACTTTGGCTTTAAATGTGGATTCCCAACATGTATATGTCATTAGCCCCATCACTGTTATAAAAAGCAATTAAAAACATGAAAAAAATCTTTGGATTATTCACATGAATCCATCCCAAGACTATACTGCTCTATTGGCAATCATGGGAGTGACATACAGCTTTTCTAAGTTAACAGAAGATTAAACAAATCTTTTTCCTATTTAAACACCAATTTTACATGGGCAACCTGAAGACTGCCACTGAGTTTGTATTATTTGGGATACAGCTTTGTGGAGGTTGATTCACAAGAATCTTTTACCTGAAAGGTTACATTACTACAGTTATTGTACATCTGAGGAAAAAGATGATATCTGATGTTCCCATTAGATAATGATAGCTAAATTAAAAGTTTCAAATCAATGTGCTGTATAAGGCATTGTTTAATAGGGCTCACTGCACTTGTTGGACAATTAGTATTACTCCTGTATTATTAATGCAGAACATTATATAATGGCTTATGACCTGTAATAACTGACTGAAGTGTTGGATAAAACTTCTCTGTATAACCTTCGTTTACTTTAGGGCTTCAAACTGTGTGGCCACTAATAATATTGCAGTTATTAAAATTTATGGTGGACTAAATTAGTATCTTACTTGAATTATATGAAATTATTAACCTACTAATTCCTGCAACACAGAGCACAGCAAAAGGTGGGTTTGTACCCTAATAACTGTTTAAAGAGGCTTAAAGGTGTAATACTTGACCAGATTTCTCTGATAACACAGGACTTGATATTCCATTTGCCTGTACTTTGATGATTAACAGCACTTAAAAACACTGCGGTTGTCATTATTTGGATGCTTTCTGAGTTTTTTAAAGTACATTTAATAACAACCTACAGATCTTCTGTGAAGACAGTGACCTTTGGCTCACAGATGAGGAGATGATTACTTGACTGCTTCACTGCAATACCTTTTACATGGTGCAGTTACCTCTAGAATACTGAGTTTTGGTTTAAATAATGCTATGGCAGCAGCAAGTCAAACAGACACCAAGAAGAAGTTACAGAAGCTTATTTATGAAGAAATAACAAAATCAAGCATAGCTGAGTTTATAGCTCACTAAACAATTAATTAGCATCCAGTTATTTAGTATTTAATAAAAGAAAGCTCACACTAAAGTTTTGCTCAAGTAAGGATAAAGAGTCCAATCTTAAAATGACAAGCACTTAATTTGAGAGGTGTGCAGACCGAGGAGGCAAAGGAGTAATAGAGATACAAAAATTCAATAAATAACAACGTACCAAAAATAAAATTAAAAAAAAAAAAAGAAAAAAATATCTATTTCAGAACGTAGTTACTTATTCACCTGTAGAATAATTAGTAAAATGAATGATGTGACTACTGCAACCTGGAAAATTTAAAACTAACATATCGTCCAATGGGTTCAGTCATGTATAGTTTGAGAGATTATGCAACAAAACAGGATCTTCTCTATTTTCAGATCCAGAAATCTATCATACTACTCAAATGCAGCATGGTTAGTAGGCACCATGCAAGGTCCTTCAAGGCACCACACTATCCGATGAATTTTCATGCTATTCCCTGAAACTACACAACAGAGAAAATTGTCTAAATAAAGACCTTATTAACCTACCTAACCTACATACTAAGGCAGGAGTTGTAGAGTAGCACCACCAGAAAAGAAGCCAGTCTCAGCACTGTGGCCTCCTTATGAATATCAAAGTACACCAGCAACAAAGGAAAACACACCTTGAACATTTTTCCCATTTTGTCTGCGCCTCATATCGCGATATTCCTGCTGAGCGTGAATGGCAAATTTTAAATGTCATTCAGGACCCATTGAATACTGCTAGTATTTGCATTCCTTAAGAAGTAGAAAAACATTAACCTTTTGTTTTATTGAATTAAAATGCCATGGAAATGCTGATGTAGTCTTCAGAGACTGAAATACTTTTACAAAGAAGAATAGCTGTCATTTATTAGACACAAAGAACAATTACTTGATAGGATGCTTTCTGACAAAAAGCAGATTGGTATTCTCATCATAGAAAAGGCATTGTAAAAAAACCCAGCACAGACCTCTGAGACTTGAATAATTTAAAGCTGCATTTGGTGCAATTTGAATTTTTCTTTAGGGAGGCAAAGTTAAATACCTTTAATTTGTTCTAATTATTTCAAATTTGCAAGTTAATTATGGCTGATCATTAAATAACAAAAAGGACTATCGTCTCCATAGAGTTTTACCTCCTACCCTCTGCATTACTTAAGCTAGATTTTAGTATGCATGAATTAACTTTCTAAATAATCACACGGTTTGACTAAATGGCTCAGTAAAATGAGCTCTAATCCTCAGAATAAGCATTAATGGACATTAGAAAGGCTACTGGGAGCCATGTTACTTACATTATAAGTATTTTTAATGGGGTCTTATTTACTAATCTTTATGTACTGTTCAAGTTAGGGTACCATATAGATGCATTATTCTGCTCTAATAGAGGAAAGTCAGTTCTTCAAGATACTAAAACAAATGTCCATTTAAAGCCAACTAAATTCATTTTTAAATTAATGCAGGAAAACTCTGATACAATTTAACTCGTTTTAGCTGCTCATACTGATGAATCAATCCAACATAATGGTAGCCATGGTCTGCAAATGGAGTTTTACAGATCTACTGAATCAATAAGCAACTCAGCAGCTAAGACTCTTGCCACAGAGTAGGATTTACTACCAGCACATGTACGCCTACAACATTTCATCTCTTCCCTGTTCCGTACCTAGCACTTACCTGATGGGTTCCCAGTCATGGATCCCAAATTTGGATACTTCCATTGAACTCTGATCTTTCCATGCATTTTTTCAGTGCAGATCAGTGGCATCCAGAGAACATGACTACATTTATCACTAGTCAGAAACCCAAAATGTGAGGCAATTCATGCCTCCAGTATATATGTTCAACAGATGGCTGCCTTAATGGTACCCTACTGCACCCCATTGAGGCAAGGGCTTACGAGTTTGACCATTATCTAACTAACAGACTGCTGTCGTAGGTTAGCTCCAAAAGCAAACATGTTGGAATGTTATTTTCCTGTTCCACAATTTCTGGTTTAAAAATAAAATAATTAACAGCTCATGTGTGCAATCTGCTGCAATTATATCAGGCCAAAAATGCATAATACTTAATGATGCAAAACTGGTGATAATTAGACAACCCAAGCAATACGTTTTTGTAGCTGGAACCTGTATCACCATTTCAGATGTAGTTTGACAAACAGGCTGAAAATTGCTTCCACACACACACACACTTTGGCTGGAAGAGCTTTCAGCCAGATCATTTTCCAGAGTCAGCTTGGTATAAAGCAGCACTATCACAAGTGGTGGGACAAAGAAGGTGTTAATATCTCACAGGATCTTCTTTTCAGCAGGGGTCTGGATTTAGATCAGTTTAAATCAAGTTATCAAACCACACTTTTGGAAACCATCAGTTCCAAAGTGGGAGTGTTTGGGAAGTTGCTTGTCTGTACGGCAAATTAAAAAAAAAAAAAAAAATATTTGCGGGTCAAAAAGGACTGTAGACTTGGGATGAGTGGATCTAAGAAGCACAGACAGTGGTCTCCTGAACAACCACAACTTTTTCAGTCCTTTCAAGTGTGCTGTGTTACTCTTTGTAAGCCTCTACTTCCAGAACAGCCGAGTGCCTCAGATATTTTTTCCAACAATGTGTCAGATGTGGTTACCCTAATACTCAAGGCAAAGAAGATAAGAAACTGATGCAGTAAAGAAGCTGGGTCCCTGGACAGTAAGAAGGTCAGAAGAAGTGGAAGAGAACTGGAACCAAGTCCTAAACACTCACCTCACTGAGAAAAGGAGACACCTGAAATTAGTGCAATACAACATGTGTGTCTGCTTAGACGCAATCATGAGGAAAACCCTGACAACAGAGGTGGAAGTCACGGCCCTGTTTAGCACATCTCCACCTGCAACCAAGAGTCCTCTTCTGAGGGGCACAGCCTGCCCCTTCCTTCCAGCGGCTGT